GGGGAGGCGAGTCCGCGCCGCCGCGCGTGGATGTTAGAGATATTTTTCAACTTGTACTAAATGTGATAAACCGATGAATTGACAATGAGCAATCTAACTGTAATATATGAATATTATATATTACATATATATACATACACAAATATTCTATATATATAATATTACGCGCGCGCAACACACACAAATATTATATATATATTATATACATAAATGTCTGTCGTACAAGCCGTAATTAGGATTTACTGTAGCTAGTACGTGTTAGCTTATTAAATGAATACACTCGTAAATGGCAGATGGCGGAATGAAACGCGTTTATGCGATCGAGATGAGAGAAAGAAAAAGAGAGAGAGGGGGGGGGGAGAGAGAGAAAGAGGAAATCAAGAATAATATCGTATACCGTCTCGAAATCTGTCCACGAATTCTCCATTGACGCTGGGCGCTGTCGTGCAAAAGCGAAGAACGCGTCCGCGGCCCTCCGGCTCTTCGGCTAACTAACTAATTAATTAAGAGAACTTGGAGCAACGTGTGAAAACAATGTCTCGCGAACCTTTGGTGCGCGCGCTCTGCCGCTGTAACGGGCTTTACAATCGTGTCGCGAGTTAAACGAGCAAGTCCGCGTAACGACGACGAAATAAGGAGCGACGAGAAAGAATAATTTCGCGAGTCACCTCGTACGAAATCTCGTCATTGGACTCTACATGGAAATTAATTTTGTTGTCGTTGGTACTTTTTTTGAAAAAAAAAGAAGCAAAGAACGAAGAAACCTCGTTGCAGCGTTTAATTGTCAATTCTTTTCAACAGCCACACGCTTCGCGGAATAATCTAGCCAGGATCGTTTCGCAGGATCGACGAATCGGTTTTATACATTTAGATTATAATTAGGATAAATCGCGAATGTGCAGGAAGACACGAGGTTCCCTCTCGCGAATCCTCCCTTCAGCGCTTTTTTCGGCGTAGCTGCAGCAGGTCGGTGCCTCGGCGCCGTGTCCAAGTGTCGATCGTGATTGCCGCGCGCGATCGCGACGCGTATAGATCGCGCAGCCACGTTTCACGAGAAGTGTGCGTTCGATATATAATTACGTATATAATATAAACGGCCGTTGGTACAAAAGTGCGAATCTCTCCCACCTGAATCCGATCCCCATCGCGAGCGCCGGTCCGTGATCGGCGATCGATCGACCAAGCTAAACGAACGATTACGAGACGACGAATTAATTGTAGTGTTTTACGAGCCATATAGCGCGGCGCCCCACGTCATTGGTACGCTTTAAATAACGGGGGGAGTATAAAAGTATTGTGTGAAAGCACACCACTCTATTACCGGTATATATTATATACATTGTAATCAATTGTTGTCTACGATATAATGTTATTTTTCTAATTCATATTCAATTGTTATTGTTGAGCGAAAGAGAGAGAGAGAGAGAGAGATTCAGAGAGAGAGAGAGAGAGAGAGGGAGAGAAAGCGCGAGAGAGCGAGGATAAATGAAGATGAATGGCAGGGAGAGAGAGAGAGAGACGAAAAGTGGAACGACGGAACGAAGAGTGAGATGCCGAGTGAAAAACGGGGAATAGAAGAGAAGGCGAGAATGCATTGGAAGATTGTGCGTGGGAGGGGACGAGAGCGAAAAGTGCGTGCGAATGGAGGATGAAAAAAAAAGCACATCGAATACTTAAGCGCGAATAATGTATTCGGCCAGGATAGAATCTCCTGTACTTTCCATTTCCATTTGCTTCCCTTTCGAGCAACATTTACATACATCATCACGTACAACGAGTTCTATGTCTTTCCCAGGTGTTTTGGCAGCTGATTCTTATATACGGATAAAAAAAAAGAGGAAAATCGTATTGCGAGACACGGTTATAAATTAATATTGATTACGACCGATTGAAGCCGGAGAGTCTCAAATGTGCCAAAGGAAGTACCTCTCGCCAGGAACTAATGCGTTTCTATAACGTAATACTAAGCGACGTTCGTTTAAATCTCTCACTGAACGCTTTCCACGCGCTAAAGGCCCGAACACGCGAAAAAACTGCAAGCGGTAAGACTCGAGACTCGAGGGAGACGACCGGTGAAGCGTCGTGAACGCGAGCAGCCATTCCGAAGCCGAAGGCAAGGCCGAAAATTGCGATCGACCGGTACCCTCGAGTCTCGAGTTTTGCCGTTTGAGTATTTTCGCGTGTTCGGGCCTTAAATCCGCGCCGCGCGTCGGCGAGTCCTTATTTCTCCCCGCGGAGGGGATCGCTCCCTCTGCCGCTTCTTTCGGGGAAGCCGCGACCGCAGCCACTACGGCCGTGTACCAACGAGTCGACTGAAATCCCACGAGTTGGCACTTTGGAACTTTGCGACTTGAATTCTAGCGGTAATGTAATAGCGGGGTGTTTTGCGGTGCCAGAAACCGCCGAATCGGACTTCCGCCGCGTCCCAATTCCGCGCGCTCGTTCCACGCGACGTGCGGTTGGTCGCGTGCGGAGGGCGGGGAATCTGGCGGCCGGACGGGGTTGCGCGAGTAGTAGCGGTGCGCGATTAGCGCGACGGGGCCTCGCCGCGTCCCGCGTCGCGACGCGACGGCACGCCGGTCGCCTGTGATATACATACAAAGTCGCGAGCGCATAAGTATTGTATTTTTTGTAAGGCTCATGTACGCCACGCAGATTGTGATAATCGAGTTCGCGGCGTCGTCCCGGGACGACGGACGACGGACCGGCGCGCCTGACACCATCATCGCACGAGAACGACTCGGCGGTTCCTACGCGGGGCGATTGTTCTCTTCGAACTCACCCTGCAGACGAGACTAACGGTCCGCAGACAACATTCGGCATTTCGCCCGATTTTATGAGACTCTTTTTTTCAAACTGGCATACGCATTTTACACTCTAGTAAACGTATGGGACAAAATTCAACAAAAAGAAACGGTTCATAAAACCCTCCGAAATGCCACGTCGTCCCACGATCGCGTCGGGTTTTCGGGTAAATTTGGAGAGGAAGCTCCCTCCGCGTACCTTCATTTCCCATCCGATAAGCGGAATAAGTGCGAATGAGGCTTGTTGACTCTTAATTTGTGCGTTGTGGAAAGACGCGTTCTTTAGCTTTCTTAATGTCCGAGAGGACCTGCCATCGACCACCCGCTTCTTGTGTCATGCCAAAATGATAGACGGATACGACGTAAGAATTTGACGAGGTGCTTTAGTTACTTCGACTTCCTTTTGTCTTTCCTAACAATTGTACCGGAGGCGATGAGTTTTAATGCGCTGAAAATTAGACTGATAGACTTGCACGAAGTGATACTTTTTATATATGGGGAAGCATAGAGTTATGAAATGATTTCATTTCGCCTTGGAAAAGGTAACGATCGTACCGCGTTCAGTACGCGAGGGACGAGCGCTGCCTTCTCGTTTGTTTGTTAAAGCTGTCGAGAATCTTGTCAGCAGAATATTGCTCGCACGTTGTCTCGATTAATTATTGTTATCTAATCGATGCGAACCTTCGCCGAGTCTCGAACAGATAGCAGAGCAGTTAATTAACTCGAATCAAGAATCTGTTTCTTGTTTTTCAATTTTTTCTTCTCGGTGATCTGATAAAGTTGCAAATTGTAGAAGTCGTCGCGGAAAATCGTGGCGAGTTGATGCTCGAAATTTACGACAAGATCGCGCGTATAAGCGACGGAAAAAGGAAAAAAGTTTAATGCGTTGATATTGTGAAATATTGATCTCGTTACGAAACACCGATTCGATGACTCTTGAAAAAAATATGAGAAGACGCCGGTAAAAATTTGACGTCGCATTGCATAAAGTTATTCCACCGCGAGGGTCCTAAAAATATCGTTAGCCTCCACACGAGGTTTCGTGTTCGCTGATCGTTAATCGCGGCGGTGCAACTATCGCGACCTGTGCATTGTATAAACTGCAAGTTTTATTCCGGCTATATGCATGGGAATTCTCTATGAAATGGAATGTCCGCTGTCACGCCGGATATTCCTAAAGAGGATGTTTAATAAATAAACGCGCTCGGAACAGAATCGCGTCAGGTTGACGCGCTCGTAGACATTTTGGATTCGGCGTAAAAATTTTACAAACTCGAAAAAAAATTGCGAAACGTTTCAATGGTAGCTGAACGGTCGCCATTGTCTCGGGCGAGCGATCGTTACAAATTCGCAGCTTCCGCCGGATGCGTGTATAAAAGCTCGAAATTTAAATCCGATATTGAAGCGAAAATATAAAACGAGAATGCCCGCGGATCTTGACTCGGCGAACGATTCGGACCCGATCGACGAGAATCAATTAATTCTACAAATCTCAAAACGGGACTACGTTAGTTACGTAATTGCGCGTCGCGTTTCTTTGTGATATTTTAAAAAATCTGCGGGTGCGAGCGTCTGCGTGTATGTAGTACGTTGTTGTTGAATCCGGTGTCCACCGCGAGATGCCAAAGAATTGTAAGTCGTGTAATAAAGCTGTGGCTGTAAGGTAAACTATGATAACGTCAATGATAACGAAATGATGATAACGAGACGATGATGATTGACGACGACGATGATGATGAGAGTGGAACGTCTGGCGCGGTGATAATCGTTATTGCTATCTTGTAACGTTTAATGTATATCAGTGTCGTGCAAACAAAAAATAAGAAAAAAAATGAGCGGCTGAAGCTCCTCGGTGTTGTGGGTATGCATACTCGTTCCTAGCAACTCGTATGACAATTACTATTCGATACTACTCATAACGATTGCATTGATCTACTTTACTCTACGTACACTTTAAAGATAAATAAATACATTCTGTCCAATCTCACTCGGGCCTATGTCGATGTTCACCTTTTACCTCGTCGATACATTTACTTTCAATAGGACAGGACTGCGAGGAAGGTGAAGAATAATTCCACCAGGGAATCGTCGACGATCAATCGCGCATGCTGCGAGAGCTGGAGGGAGATTAGATAAGTCTCTCTGAAACAACTTCGTTGTTTTTCTCGACTCGGAGAAACGGAACGAAGACGTACGTATAAAAGCAACCGTATCACTTTATTATTCTGTCAACATTTGTTACATAAATCCATGGCAATCCAAATCGGGTTTCTTTTTGTAATGTCTCGTGTTCAGGTATTTACTTTCAGTTTTGTAGTTTATTCCATTCTAATGCAAAACACACTCACTATGTCATGGTTATTTTCAAGTATTTTTATCTGGCTACTCGGCACATAATCGGAAAAAAATATATACACCCGTATATATGTATTTACTCATCTATCAGCAGTAGAAAACGGTTAATCTGCGCGAATCGACCAACTTACATTCTAGCGTCACAATAATGCGATCTGTTCTGTTAATCAATATACGATTATGAGGATTACACTTTTTTTTTAACTGCTAACGAAAGTCGTCTACGATCTAGGAGGTTACAATCCTTTAATACAAGTCTATCTGTAGATATGCTAAATTACATATATCTTCATTACGCGTCATGACGTACTCGTTATTTATTATTCTAAACTGGCAGACCGAGAGCATGTACAATGTATTTTGTAATGTACGTAAACGTGGCTCAGTATATGTCGCTTTTGGCCTTTAGGTGAAAATAGGATGGATGCAATCGATATCAGTGACTAAGCGTGAAACATGACTAGCTTGAAACGGCGATTCCATAGATTCGCGGCGCGTTACAATATTCTGACGATTAATTGCTGCGTGCTGCATTTTGTTTTGCGCCCTGCAATTTGTTTCGCGCAACAATAGTCTCGGATTGCGGTATCAGAGTATCTGACAGCAATTGTGCACGGCTGAATACGTAATATTTGTATCTACTTATATCTGGGCCACGTTGACATGCAAAGGATAGAAGACTTTAAATTCTTAACAGTTATTAACGACATTCGATAAAAGTGACTTCACGTTCGTTAAACGGATCTCCTTTGAAAGTCCTTAATAGAAAAATATCTCTTCCTTACTTTTTATCACTTCATCGAGATGTCGGAATGCTGAAAAATTACGATAAAACACAATGTTCTATCCATCGTGACAGTAGAATTTCATGTGACTATAAACATTCATGCAGAGAGAAACATCGAATATAATTTCTTTCTCGATTCTTCATCAATACAATTAGTTAATTGTATAAATAAATAATAGCAATTGCTTATAAAATTAAATTAAATATTAATTTTTTAAGCAATAACCATTGCAGCGATAGCAATTTATATTAATATTGTTCGGATCCTTAATCGCCTTGTCTACAATATAAAGTAAATTGAAAATATTCTTGTATATCTTCCGTTAATTTCAATTACTCAAAAAGTTATATAACAAGATAGAAGAATAGTATATAATTTCATATGTTACGTCTATCACATAATGTTATCTCTGATAAACGCCAAAGTTCGATATAAAATCACTAGAGATTCAATCTCCTTGTACACATTAAAGTATACTAATTAATTGCATTTCCATATACATATATATATATAACGATTGTAGATAAATGCAACAGAAATTCGAAACGAAAGAGACCATGATAACGAAGTATTAAGCTACAAATAAAACTGAAAATGCAGGCGTATATTGTGCGATATTTAAAAAACGCTTTATGTCGCGGATTGTGTCATGTTACTGCAATACACACCTATTCGGCATGGTACGAGTCATAGACTCCTGCCGCATGAATATTTCTTTTTTTTTTACAAAGAAACTTTTTTAAGCCCTTATAAAAATAACTGCGTGGGTATCCATGCGTGGAAATTCGCTCGTCATTCTACCTATAACCGAACTTTCAGCTCCTCCATTCTTTGCTTTATTCTTTTTCGCATTTCTTTGTATCTGAAACACGGAATTTGTATGATTATTTAGATAATATTGCGATTCTTACCGAGACACGGTGTTTGGGTGCTCACTTTTCTTTCAAAAGAACAATCTGACGTTCCTCTTCGTAGTGATAACGTTGCAATATGCCATGGCATTCTGCTATAGATAGATTGAGGAACTGCGCGACATCGGAGCTGATCTCAGGCGTGGACAACTTATCGACCAGAAACAGTCGTGCGACGTTCTCATGCGGACCCAAGACTACTCGGACTTCCAAAGGGTATTCGTCGTCCTTCAGTCTTCTTTGCTCTGAAAATAATACGGATTGCACGTAACGGAGGAAAAATATAATCGTGTAACAACTCTGAGTTCATCAACTTCTAAATTGCAGCTTTCTTACCACCATTGTCGCGGACTACAAATAATGCAAAGTTATCGGACTTTGCATCGACTTTGTACTTGTCGAGCATAAGATTGATAACTTCCTGCGTGTTCACTAGACTCGTCACCCAAACGGACATCTGCGAACCGTGAGGCGGCGTGAAGAAACTGGTCTCTCGATTGTAAAAGTGGCCGTTGATCGAGCAACGACGTCGCAGTCGGTTTCGCGACTGACGTCTACCGCCCGGGCGTCGCCTGATCGCGGTGGAGCCTTGCTTGCGACGTAAAACGACACCATCCAGCTGCAATGCAGAACAGATTGATACGTGCGCTCAAAACTACACAACCGGGATGAATGTTCGCGATGCAACACCTCTAATCCGCTGTCTGTAGACATAGTCATGTTGTCGTCTTCTCTGAACTGCAAAGAGTTGACCGAATCCGTGTCACTGTCAGTTCTGTGTCTCTGAAGGCAGTCGGGGCCAGACAACGATCGGTTCAGACCCTTCTCGATCCAGCTGTCGTCGGTGCTAATCGACTTGTTGCTCTTCTCTAAGCTGTCGAAGTACTCGACTCTTCGAAGCGTGCCATTTCGATTAGAAGCTCCTAAATTACAGACGGGGGTGTCTGTACTGGAAGAACTACCTATGCTGTGCGTTGGCGTGCTATTTAGACTACTGTCGTTGTCTCGGCTAGTAGTCTGGTGATTGGGACTGCTCGTCTCCGAGTTCTCGCGCGAGTCCGAGCGATCGAGACTCGACTGAGACGAGAGCGGTGGCGTGTCCGCGCTAGATTGCGAACTTATTGACGGAAGATTCTCAGGCATCGTCTGATACAACTTGTTGCCATCCTCGATCTTTCGTTCAACCTGCAATCATACCTCCCAGTTTATATCTCTTTCATAAAGTAAATATGAAATAAATGTTAAAAGTCAAACCTGCAGGAGTTCGTCCAGCTCGTCCCATTCCATGGTCTTGACGTCCAGTTTCATGGGCAGAGTGAGACTCTTCAAATGATCGGGCGATGTCGGGACAGACTTTGCGTTGTTCTCCGCGTTGCTGTCCGACGTGCTCTTAGACAGCTCGTCTTCTTTTTCTTCATCCTCGACGTCCTGCCGCGATTCAATGTAGCAAATAGACACGTCGTTATTACGTCGAATGTACCAAGTTCCAAGGCAAATAAGAGTGACAAACCTCAGAAACACTGTGCCTGCACGAGTTCCTGTTTCGCGCGGTAACTACTGTGCGCTGATCGTCATCTTCCTTCAGATGAATCACACCACGGACCCCCCAATAAATTCTCAACGCCCCTTCTAGTATCAATCTTCCGTTAACCTGTTTCAAATCGTTATTCGTTTATATGTTCTTTACATTAAGGCCCGAATACACGAAAATAAAGTCGAGCAGTAAGACTTAAGAATTTCAATTCTTTCATTGGTCGTTTTCTTTAGGTCTTAAATTTTACTACTCAATTTTTCTCGCGTGTACGAGCCTTCAGAAAGTCGGTACAAATATGTCCCAGACAGCCTTTTTACCTCACGACTTCGAATTCCTCCACTTTTGCCTTCGTAATACTGATTGAAAACTTTCAGTTTGGATTCTAAATGCGATCTGAAACGACAATTTCCTTTAGAGAATTATTTAACAAGATGTTTATCTTCTTCATTTATACACAATTGTCCCCAGTTATTTCAAACGCAGTTAATTTTACTACCTGGATTCGTATTGAGGCAACAAACTTACAAAATTAAACGCTGTCTTAATCGGAGTAACTAAAAAGTCTACTTTCCACGAAATTATTTAAACGCGATCTCGGTGCGTACCTCGGTAGAGACGGTCGACTTTCCTTCTTCCCGAAGCTCGTGTGCGACTCCACTCGTGTGCCGTGGCCGAACAGCTGAGGTCCAAATAGAGCCCCGTAGCAAGGAACGTGACAATAAGGCACGCCTTTATGCTGATTGTGACATAGCAACAGAGCAATACATTACAATTATCTATCGCGCTTGTAACATTGCTCCGTGATTCCCAAGAGAAGGACAAACGGCTCGCATTACCTCCGCATGTTGCCCGGGATTCAATCGCTTCCCACATTCCTCGCACCTCAAGCATTCCGGATGCCAGTCGTATCCCAGGGACTGCTTACGTTCAGCTGAAAAGTCGGTAGTTTCGTTCAAACCATACTGATCCAAATTCGAATTCCCTCTCCGAGAGGGGCGCAAGATTGACGATAACGCGGGTCTCCGGTTGTTACTTACTTACAGGTAGTGCGTCAATTTAAAATATTATAAACAACGAAAGTGACGCGGTGACCGACGGTTCGGGTTTCCTTACGACTCTCGCTTCACTTGACGCAAGGCGTAGCCGAGGGTCTTGCACGACACCCACGACGTCCCGTAACGAGGCAGATCGATCGCTCCAAATCGCGAGTGGTGCGATACCCGTCAGGGGCGAGCACGCCGCCTCGCCTCGCCTCGCCTCGCCTCGCCGCGAGACGCGAGCCGCGAAAACTCACCGAAGTAAACGGGCTTGCCGCATTTGTGGCACTTCCACATGATGACGGACGCACGGCACCCTGGTGGGACGGCAACGGGCGGTGTTTTCGTCGACCCTCGGATCGCTTCAAACCATTTTGTTTACATTAGCCGAGCATTCCGCTCATTGGAAGTGATATATGCGGGTTAATTGCACAGATGTTACTAGCCCATAGTGACCTTCTCGTCGTCGCACACAGGGGAGGCATCGTGCCCACTGTTCACGCGCTGCTCTCCACAAGTCGCTCCGTGTGCGCTGAACGCCACCTAGACTCACTCGTATCCTCTCGATATTGCAGGCGCCGACACAAATTTGTTGGCGGTAAAACACCGAGGGCATTGTGGTATACAGGGCTGCTTTCGCGAGAAAAAATCAAAATGATCCAGATTAAAATGACCTTGCGCTATGATTGGTCAAATCTGGAATTTCATTGAATAAAGTTTCAATGTGACGCTACAAAATTTCAGATTTGACCAATCGTAGCATAAAATTATAAAACACAAGACTACACTTTACATAAAACACAAAAGACTACACTTTACGTGGCGCAAAAATATATTCTACTGAATTACACGTATTCTTGGATAGATAAAAAACCTTATACTATAATATAATAACGACAAAATAATTGTATAATTAAAGACATTAAATAAAAAGACATATATTACAACAGATATTTTACAAAATAATAATTTCACAAATTAAAACGCCGAAGAAACAAAAAGAGAAACGATTCGAGCTCGAGGACGGGTCTTCCCGACTCAAAGCTCAGCGATAGAAAAGCGCCAGGATTAAGAGTCGTCTATCCATACTTTTATTTCTACCTACTGACTAAAGGCAAAGATATTTGAATATCCTCATCTTTACAAAAAATAATATATCCCACTACCGGTTATCACAATCAGAAAGCGTTACAATATATTTTCTTCGCTATTTGTTTTCCCTCTCCATCGCTTCCAGGCGTTTCTTCTCGCTGCTGGCGTTAAACTCGCGAATGAAGTCGTCCATCATCTTGTTCGCCTTCCTGCTCTCGGGCGGGAAGTACTCCTCCTTCGCCTTTATTACAAACTCGTCGAAGAAGACCGGTTGATTGACGTAGTGATACATTCCAACCGGGAACGATATGTAGAGAAACATCTTGACTACCTCCAACACCCAGCCCATCCTTTCAAACACCTGCTGGAATAGAAAGCATACGTTACAATCGTGTTTTTGGTTCTTATTCGGTCCTAGCTTAACATCGCTGTTACCGAACATGATAATCTCTTAATGCTGCCAGTAATAAATACTAATGGATAAGTTTAGTCGACCTTAACTGGCACGTGTTTGATAAATTAAAAATTACAAAATATACAGTGCGACGTTTCGACCAAGGGTTTAGTTCCTTATCAGGCACTCGACTAAACTTATCCATTATCACTGCTTCCATCTATTATCATTCTGTTCTATCCCAGCCAGCAAAATGTTAGCAGATTGGCAGCAAATTTATCAGACGCCCACACCAAAACCATAGCCATCTGTATTGACATTTGGCTTTTGTTTTGGCAACAGAGTCTGTAAAACATACGCTGCCAACGGATTGCCGGCAGAAATCGAACAGGTCCAGTTATGTGACCAGATTTTGGTGCATTTCTGCTGACACGCTGGCAACATGTCGAATATATCAGTTCCTGTATGCAATCTGCAGTCTTTCTTTCCTTCAAAATTTGTAGTGGGCATTTGACGAAATCCGTTCTGGCAGATTTGGCCGTCTGGGTATATTTCTGTATTCACAGCCTATATTTATTGCAATTTATTCTTTACGTCTATCCGATTTGATTATGATACTCTTGTTTAAATCGTATAAAGCAGAAATGACAAACAGAATAGCGAGGGGGAAACCGCCGAGGGCATTGTGGTGTACAGATTTGCGGCGTTATTTGGCATTACTAGGCATTTTTTGGGTATTAGGCCTTGCTGGGGCATTATAAACATAAAATAAGATAAACTGAGATAATAAGATAAAGTAATGCCCATTGGGCATTAGTGGGCATTGGTGTACAAGATTTTGATCAGCGGTTTCTTCGCAGAATAGCTTTGACAATCGCTCTGCTAGTATATGAGTCTGTCAACAATGTTCCTCCTCTATTATCTCTCAACTACTGAAACTTATACTGTATCTTGACTGTGGAAGCAGAAGATCTTCCTTTACATCTGACTTGTGACATGTATAAGCTGTGTTGCAATTATTTACATCTATCCAACTCGACTATGACGCTCTTCGCAAGTTTTTCTTTTCAAACTGTACAAAACAGACAAAACATCAGAACGTGTCCATCAATTGCTCCACTATATGCATCTATCAACAATGTTCCTCCTCTATCTCTCTACTCTCTCTCTACTTTATCTCTCTATCTCTCTACTATCTCAACTACTGAAACTTATACTGTATCTTGACTGTGGAAGCAGAAGAACTTCCTTTACATCTGACTTGTGATACGTATAAGCTGTATTGCAATTCTTTACATCTATCCAACTCGACTACGACGCTCTTCGCAAGTTTTTCTTTTCAAATAATTTAATTTAACTGGCTACTTACACCTATGCCCGGTCCTAAACGGCCTCTTTAATTTCTAATTGATTTTATATCTTAAAGGACCTATGTTAAAATTGTAATATTTTCTTTTCAAATTGCACAAAGCAGAAAAAACATCAGAACATGTCGATCAATTGCTCCACTATATGCATCTGTCAACAATGTTCCTCCTCTATTATCTCTCAACTACTGAAACTTATACTGTATCTTGACTGTGGAAGCAGAGGATCTTCCTTTACATCAAAGAATTGTAATTCTTTACATCTATCCAACTCGACTATGACGCTCTTCGCAAGTTTTTCTTTTGAAACTGTACAAAGCAGAGAAAACATCAGAACATGTCGATCAATTGCTCCACTATGTGCATCTGTCAACAATGTTCCTCCTCTATCTCTCAACTACTGAAA